ACACACACACACACACACACACACACACAACAAAGACACACACACACACACACACACACACACAGAAAAGACAAAAAACGATCAGGCACAAAGCCATTCTGGTCACACTGGATGAAGGAATGAGAAGAACCGGTCTCATTCCTACATAGTCAGAGTGGGACACACACACACAGAATGGGACCTTGTCCCACACACAGAATGGGACCGGTTTTTCCCTCAAGTGCCAGACACATCAGAATCACAGATCGACAGCTGCATTGTGTCGTCAAGAAAAGCCCCGAGCTTGAGTACAAGCTACAACCAACCCCTAAGTTGTTTGCAGGCCCAAGTCCCATTGTATCTGGAGCGACAGATCTTGGAAGACAGATATACCAACCAACCCCCCCCCCCCCTCCCCCCCTCTTCCACAGCGAAAGGAAAGGACCATGCATACCGCTTTCTGCACAGTGATGGGGTTTACTTCAGAACGATTCAGGGAGAGCAAACCACCTCAGGATTTGAACCCGTGACCTATGGTTTTGGAGACCCTGGACAGCGATCACATGTCAGCAGTCCAAGAGAATGCCTTTGTGCAAATCAATGTTTATATGTTTTGGACACTAGCACACGACCGTCCTCCTCTCCCCCCCCCAAAGCATAACGCACCCTGCTAACGAGTGTATACAAGCCATATTTCCGGTCAGTACAGCCCAAACGAGGGTCTGCATTGTGTTCGGGGGAAGATGGTAGGCACAAAGTGCTATTATGTTTTGAACAAGTGATCGTTATTCCATAAGGTTTTTAATGATTTCATGGGTAAATAATTTTTTTGAGGGGGGGCACCAATTCCCATTTACTTGCCGAGATCTCCGCAGAGGATAACCCCCCTCCTACACAGTGACTGGGCGATCAAGCCGCTGACTCACTCTGCCTTTCTTTTCTTCTTTTTCCTTTTTTTTTCCTTTTTTATCTTTTTTTCATTTTTTCCTTTTCTAAGTTCTTTTCTTTTTTTCTTTTTTTCTTTTTTTTTCTTTTTTTTTTCCTTTCTTTTTTAAAGTTTTTTCTTTTTTTTTCTTTTTTTTTTCCCTTTCTTTTTTAAAGTTTTTTCTTTTTTTCTTTTTTTCCCCTCTGCCATTTCTTGTCAACTGGGATTGCACAGCAGCCCATATATACTGCTTTCGCCAAGCTGCAAACACTTCAGGCTCAATTTAATACTACATATTTTAATCATCGATTTTCGGATTTTGATAATTCAGTTTAATAACTTTAATTATTTATGCTCGGTTCAATTAAAAAAAAAAAGGTCAATACATTGAATACGACGCTCAAGTTTGAAAAAAAAAAAAAAAAAAAAAAAAAAAAAGATTCAACCAAGTTAAGCCAACGCCAACGACAACGACAAAGCTGTTAATAGCTTCCGCAATCTCACGGCAATCTGTACGTCGTCATCAATTGGCACTAGTAATTAATTAATGGCTGCAGGAGTCTGAGGGAGCAACCAAGGCAGTGATGGGTCAGCTACCCATGAGATCAACACGAGGTCATCCAAACCTCGGAGTTATAAAAAACCCTGTTGCACTTGTACAGCACTGAATGTGGTCATAATTAGGATCAGAAACATCCAGTGGTTCGACCAATGCGGTATTTGTCAGCTAAGCCCATGAGTTCAACCACAAGGTCTCGCAAACCTCAAAGTTCTCAAACCCTGGTACAGGTCTGCAGCACTGAATGTGGCCAGAATTAGGATCGGAAACATCCAGTGTTTTCCGTTTTTCTTTTTTTTTGGGGGGGGAGGGGGGGAGAAAAATAGAGGGGGAACCAACTCTACATTTAGCCAAAAAGAAAAAGAAACTAGAAGGAACAAAAAACAAGGAAAACTGGAAAGATGGGTCTTTCCAGGGGCGAAAATTTCACTGGCAGCAGGATAAAATCTACAATACAAAAGAAACTGCTAAACATCATATCGAACGGCCCAAATTCCAGGCCGATCACGACCGCGGACGGCCCGGATCTCAGGCCTATTAGAAAGTTTTCTGATCGGCCTGTGATCCGTGCCGTCCGCACTGGTGATCGGCCTGCAATATGGGTCCTTCGATATGAACCGGCGCATGGCCATGAAATGCCCAAATTGCAGGCCTGACCACTTTTTTGTCCACTGTTGATACGGGTTGGTACCGGAAGCGGCGCACGGCCTGGATTTGGCCTAGAACGGCCCAATCGCCCGCCCGCCCACCCGCTTTTTTGTTGGCGGCCCACCCCTCGAATCGCCCGCCCGTCCGTTTTATGTTGGTGGTCCAACCGTCGAATCGCCCACCCCGCCTCAAATTGCCCGCCCCGCCTCAAAACGGCCGCCAACATTGTTGTTGCCGCCCGCCTGCCACTTCTCACTGCGCCCGCCCACTTTTTTTTGTTGGCAGCCTGTATATGGATCCACCTTTCAAAGCGACGGGTTTCTGAACATGCTCCGTGCTCGGTGCACAAGTACTCTATGTGCTACATGGTCGGTGCTACGTGCTCTGGTGCTGTAGCGCCCTCTCTCTCTCTCTCTCTCTCTCTCTCTCTCTCTCTCTCTCTCTCTCTCTCTCTCTCTCTCTCTCTCTCTCTCTC